ACGTACAGAAAAAGGTCAAGTAATAGTTCGAACAGGCAGAATAAGATTTGTGAATAGTCAGATTTTTTGCTTTTCCAGTATAGAAATCAAATGCAGTGAAAAAAATTAAAATTACCCGTCTTATAGTCAGCGTTAAAATCTTCGAAAGATTTGGATTACTTCTTTCTTGCCAAGTAGTCGGTACTGACAGGATGATGGAAGGCTAGATCGCAATGCTGTCAAATACGTTAGTACCATGAACTAATGAACTAATTATATGAACCTGTTTGACTGACTTGATACATTTAGTTATTTTGTTATACATGTTCGTAGCTGATTTTTTTTCAGAGGGATTTACTTGTGCCAAATATAATCCCTTATGATGAGAGTACTGCTAGGTGGTATGTTCCTTTCTACCTTCCTAAACTTGTTCTGTCTACATCACTGACTACCTGTCAGTTACGATTGCCTGAGCGCCTTAATTATAAATTCTTGTCTCCTCTTTCTTCTGGAAGCCATAAAGAGGGCTCAAGTCGTGATTAGTTTGGTTAATTGGGGAGGAATTGGGCCTCAGAGGTTGATATAATCGGGTCGTCGCTGGAATCTCAGAGCAAGTGATAATTGGAAAACGCTTCTTTGAATGCTGAGGAATTCACAATATTGACAGTTATTTCGGTGCTAATTTGCCCAATCGGATATCGGGTCTTTCAAATACGACTTTTTCAACAGGTCGCGGAAGCAGTTTATGTGACGTTGAGCAAAATTGTGATTGTTGTATTTAGAGAGCTTCTAAATACGGAGTATTTCCGTTGAAAAATGGACCAAACGCAATTTTGCCACATGGAACTTTCTTCCTGACATTACGCTTTATAGGAATAAATTGCTTATTCAGATTGCCAATTTTTGCCTCTACAGGATGACATACGGATATACATTTTAAATACACTTGTTCTCCCAACCTCCGTCTTGAAAATTGTTTCAAGAAGCTAGACCCTGGACTCCCTAAGCAATGTTCATTAGTTCATTAAGGATTATGTTCGGTACAAGTTGGCCCCCCATGCCCATATAATGAATCCGCAGTCGCGGCAGCGGCAGCGTGGCAGTTAGACAACAGTCATCGGAGAGACATTCTGTTTTGAACACATGGGATCAACTACTGCCTTGAAACCAGCAACACGCATTAAATGGCAACGTCGCATTTTGCATTGGATTCCACAGAGCCGCAAAATCATAGAACTAAATATTTCACTTGCAATCATTCACTACCAGTGACACCACTGTCACCTGTGCTGTCACTATTTTCAATATATTAGCAGTGTCATTTTGCATTTTCACTATTTTGAGAGATTTCCATTTCTTTCGTTTTCTTGTGTGGAAATTTTATTAATATCCGAGGGGTACTTTCCAAGTTATACGTGGGCCAAGAAATAGCGGACAGAGAGACCGACAGACAGATCGAACGACGGACATGAGTGAATGGCTTTTTATGATGTACATATCATATATAGCGTCAAAAAATAGCGTCCAGTAGTTGGACTCTGCATTTCCCAGGCAACGCTTCCACCAGTTCATAAAGGATTACGTTTGGCACAAACTAGTCCCTGTGAGGTAGCTACGAACATGTATAACAAAAAAGTAAATAGATCAAGTCAGCCAAATAGGCCCATAATCAATCTACACTCCAGAGTCCTCAGCCATCTAATAGCGCTAATGCTAGTTTATTCCCTGCCCTAATTATCGATCATCTGGCAACGGTGTTAACCCACGCTACTCAAGCATGCCATAAGCGCCAGCCACGATATTATACCAACTCGAGATCGAGATCGCCGACAATGCAGTCAGACGCACACATAGTACGGCGCATGATGTTCTAAGAGTAAATTTATGAGAAAAATCTAAACTGAGTGGAATATGTGCTAATAGGTGCGTAAAATTGGAATGGAAGCATAGAAATATACCTCGATTTTTAACCCCTACGAATTTTATTCTGGTAGTGATCAGGAGCCTCCGAAACATCGAAAGAAGAAGTTTAAGCCATTTTTATTTTTTCGTTCTTTGCCCTTCACGCCGCCGCCACTGGCCAGATTTTCAAAAACTTTTTCGTCCTTGGTTTCACCAAAATTCGAGCGGTACTTTCTAAGATATAGACGGGCCTAGGATTAACGGACAGACGGACGACAGACATACCTATAGACAAACGGAAATGAGTGACATGGCTTTACGGGATGGATGTACCTAAATATGACATAACATCCGAAAAACGTATCATCTCATTTTCAATTTTTATGTGATTACATTATTCCTCGCCAGTTGACGTGGGAAGTAAAAATAATATCTTATTTAAGAAAACTTTGAGGTTTAAATAGCTCCTCCCCGGTGGCGTAGGAAGTCAAAACAGGTTTTTAATTCTAATTTCAGCCATGTATGTACCTACACCGATAGTGTTATAAAAAGTACAGTTGCCGGCTCCTACCAACATTTACTCTCGGACAGGCATATCTTCTAACCCTGAAAGTGAAAGCCAATAGGAACGCTCGAAATGCTGGAGGGTTGTACTTGATGTCATGTTATCGTTTCACTTGGTAGTGACGTGCTTTGGAATATTGTTCCACGTTGGTCATATGAATTTGAGAAAGTATCTACGTATATTTATTACTTATATTTTTACATGTCTCAATTTTGATGATATGATCACATCGTTTCTTTCAATAAGCTGGTGCTATCTTACTTATCTAAAGTAAATGTGATTTTTCGATCTGCAACTCTGTTCTTCACTGTAGCCCATATCAATTCAATAAGATTTAATTCGGGATGATATGGAGGTGGTATAACTGTGTGTCGCTGCATGCGTAAAAGTACATCATATTTAAACTGTATAAATTGTTGCCTTTTTTGCTTTATCAATTCATAAGTTGTGGTTTCGGCATAGTCGGTGTGAATCTAATATTACTTGCTTCCAAGAGTTGCAGTTTGGTCCTGGATACACTTGTATGTTGCGCTAAGGTGAATTATCAGTAACTATCATAGAATTTGGTGGCAAATTTGGAATAAGCTACTGCTTCAATTACTTCTCGTAATTTGAGCTATTCATCTCGTCATAATATTTTTCGCTTTTTGTACCTGACTTAAAAGTCAATAAACCGTCATTTATGAAGCCGTCGAAACAACCTGCATGGATCATAATTAGCCGCTTTCCTTTGGATATTTTGGAAAAGAGACCCCACTTACTTCCATCAACCCAACTTTTAGCCCTAGTATGGCGGGCATGTATGTAGGACTCATCCAGGTATATAATTTTGCGGCCTTGTTCTCGGAAGTACTTGATTTTCTGTAGATTCTTAGTTGACGAAACGAATATCCCACTTCTCGATGGGTGGTTTTCTATTATTCTGTGTTTTTTCCATTTCAAGCCGAGTTGTTTAACAATTCTTCTCAAAGATCTTTCGCTACCATGCCAATCGAAATCTTCTAGTTGTTTCATAAGATTCTTACTCCAGACGAGTTTGTTAAGTGGAAGTTATAGATAATATTTCTTATATCTGCCGAAGTGAAATTCTCTTTTGACAGATCTGTCACGAGAAATTTGCGCTTTCGTGCAGTACTGATTTCACTAGAAAATGCTGATCGTTCTTGTCCATTACTCCGACACCTTTTTAACAGTGCGAGTAATACTTTCAATTGATACTCCTATTGCTTTAGCTACTTCAGCTTTAATCTCTGCCATATTTTGGGAACCGTCACTACCAGTTTTCAAATTGAGGATGTATTGGTATACATTGTATACCACCTCACACGTCTGGTTGGACAAAACTTTATTTCTACCCAGATTACTCATATTAGAAATATTGTCACTACTCAATAAACAAAACGTACGCTTCAACTTCAGCTGTAGACGTCAGTCAGTACTCGGTATGCAGCCTTTGCCGCCGTTCCGTGGGAGGAGCTTGTTACTGCGCACCATATGACCAAACCTTGGTAGTCATTTAAAGAAACAAACGCTTGCATGAGTATTGTAATAGATATATAAAATACCTATGTTTCCAGTCGAATTGTAGTTTCATCATGGATAATGTACAGCAGTTGAGTGTTGTTGTAATCTGGAAAAGGACCATTATCCGAGTCTAAATGCTTATTTGGACACGAGGGCAGTGGCGGCTCGTGAGGTAGTGCCACGGTGCCATGGCACTACCTTGTCTTCTTCAAAAAGAATATTTTTTTCAATCTTCAATGTTTTACTTTATTTTCTGCTTTTTCATTTTTTTTTTTGGTATAAATTATATGAAGTGACAACACTGACAACGTGACAACACCGCAAGCACCCGCCCGCACCTGACCGACGCGACGAGACAGAAAGCATGCCTTGACCTTGACGTCATCAACTTGTGCCAATTTTGGGCCGGCCCAAATAAAAAGAGAGAAATTTTACCAGCATCGCATACGAGCGACAGAGATAACGCTACGCTAGACATTTTTATATGAGGTGAATAGCGAAAGACAAGTATAATTTGTGCCAGGCACATCATCAGTCGTAATTCGTTATCAAATGATATCGGCGGTGTTTTTGTTCGGTCGGTCGTTTCGTTATGATTACGTCTAGTGCTGATTTCGGTCTTTTTTTACCTGAAAAGTGAGAAATAACGTTTTTGTTTTAGTACTGTTTTGTGATCATATTTTTTACTGTTTTATTAAAACTAGTGAAAATGAATAAAATCGGGATATTAAAAAACTCATTTAGTGGATTCTCGCTGGATCAAAAACTGCAAATTAAAGAATTAGGACGGCCAATACCAGATTTAAAAATTGAGAAACAAAGTGGTAGCGGACAAAAATCGCGCTGTCGCAAATTTAATAAAAATGTGTACGATAAAAACAGCTGGATATGTGGTTGTGAAGAAACGAATAAACTATTTTGTTTTGTATGTGTTCTATTTGAAGGTGACGAGACTTGGTCAAAAAAAGATACAGACGATCTTATACATATATGGGATAAAATGAAGACCCACGAAAAATCTAAAACCTATATGAATAATGTTTTTAGCTTTTCTATTCTTGGTAAATTAAATATAAGGACTCAACTGAATTCGGCTCATCGCAATGATCTAATTAAACACAATAATCAAGTGGATAAGAATCGATATGTATTGAATAAAATTATTAATTGTATAAGATTTTGTGGAGCATTTAAGTTAGCCTTAAGGGGTCATGATGAAAAGGAAAATTCGGAAAACAGAGGCATATTTAAGGAGCTGGTGAATTTTAGCGCCGAATTAGACAACGAATTGAAAGTCCATATTCAAAGTGCCAAACTTTTTAAGAGTACCTCAAAAACAACTCGAAACGAGCTTCTTGAGTGCATGCTAGATGTTTATCATGAAGAAGTTAAGAAGGAGATTGCAAATTCTCCTTTTGTTGCAGTAATTGCCTATGAAACGACGGACGTAGCCTGTGAATTTCAGTTAGTTATTATTTTCAGATATTTGGACAAAGGACAACCAGTTGAGAGATTTTGGATATTTTACGTCCCCGACGGACACGATGCCAAATCAATCGCTGCATGCATTTTAAATCCATTACTAGATCAAAATCCAAACAAATTAATAGCTCAAAGCTATGATGGTGCGTCTGTTATGAGTGGTGAATTGAATGGCGTTCAAAAAATTATTGAGGAAACATATCCACTTGCAAATTATGTTCATTGCTATGCACACCAGTTAAATCTAATTATGACAAGCGCATGCTCTGTCAATAAGCAGGCTAGAATATTTTTCCATAATTTATCTGGATTGTGCTCTTTTTTTTTTGACGTCTCCTCAAAGAACAAAAATTTTGGATGAAATAGTTAATCGCAGATTGCCAAGATCTTCCCAAACACGTTGGAATTTTCAGTCACGAGGTGTTCATACAGTTTATGAAAATAGGAAAGACCTGATTGAAGTTATGGACAATATAGAAAGTACTTCACGCGATTCTTCGTCGATTAATCAAGCCAGTGGGTACAAATTAAAGCTGCAAGATACAAATTTTGTATTTTGGCTAAGTATTTTCCATAAAATAATGCCACATGTTGAAATTGTCTTCAACCAATTACAAAAAGTATGCACCGATTCTGTTAAGGTCAAAAATGATTTAGAGAATTTTGAAGCATCAATTCAAACTACAGTATATTCAGATAAGAGATAGACCGGATGTAAACAAAAGGTTCGGGTGATTTTCACGCTAACGCCGCCGTCTCGACGTAAAACAGGAGCCCTCATTGGTCAATTCGCAATTAAATGCCTATGCCGAGCGGCAGAGCAGTCGTATCAAGGCAGAGTCACATTCAGGTTCAGACGTGTTACGTATGTCGTGTGCATCATTGCAATTTGATATTTCTTTGGACGTTTTCGTTTGTTATCTTATTAAGTTGTTGAGTTTGTCGTTGTTATTGTTATACCTTGTTATTGATTGTTATTGTTATCAACTGCTTGCGCAAAATGCCCAGTAGTACAGATACTGCCGATGAAGTTGTAAACTCCTGTAGTCCACCTAGGAAACGCTCTAAAAAAAGACACCTGAGTGCAGAAATGAAAGAGGTCATTTTGAATATATATAAGATCGAGCGCGAGGAGAACGAGGCATCAACCATCAAAGAAATTGTTGTGAAGGTTTCTCACAAAGTTGGGGTGTGTCGCGCATCAGTGTTTAATGTGTTAAGACAATACAAAAAAAAATCACACCTTTTCTGAGCCAATGACCAGTAAACATCGCAAAAGTATTGTTAAATCATTAGATGAAGCTGATAAGCATGCGATTAGGAGGAAAGTGCATGAATTCTTCTTTAGGAATGAAATACCTACTATAGATAAAGTACTGCAGGAGGTAAATGGAGATACAACGTTGCCAAATTTCAAACGATCAACTTTCCATGCGTTACTGAAGCATTTAAATTTCAAATGGAAAAAACGGGGTCGTAATAGTTTACTACTGGATAGAGAAGAAATTGTGCTATGGAGGAGGGATTATTTAACAAAAATTGGGAAATATAGAAATCAAAACAGGAAGATTTATTACCTTGATGAAACGTGGGTAAACGCAGGACACACTACAAGTAAAGTATGGGTTGATGATTCTGTAACTTCATCCAGGAGGGCCTTTCTAGATGGACTTTCCACCGGATTAAAAAATCCAGCAGGTAAATACGAGTAATAGACAACAATCGGATGTTTTTCAAACCTTGGGAACAAGGTTCTAAACATTAATTCCAGGGGGCAGATAAAACATATTACAAGTAACAAAACTTTTATAACTTTCGATAAAATGCGTGGATGTTTTATTGTCATTTTCATTTGTTAGAACTTTTTTAAGCCATGTTTTTATGTGTTTTCGATATCTCAATAATTTTTTAATATAATCTTAAAATATGTCGAATATTATAAACTTAAAAAAAGTTACTAAGTTTTATATTGTGTACCGTTCCTAATATTTCTAATCATTTTAATTCATACTTTAAGCTTTATAAAGTTATAATTTGTTAATATTAATATTTGCGCGTATTTCAGGTTCCTGATCATTCATTTTTTAAAGGTTTATAACTTTAAATTAAATTGTGAAGCGCTGAGTAATCATACGACGTTAAATATTCTTTCTTTCAATATGACTAAATAATCCCAATTATAGCAATCTGATACTCATGTCTCAATGTTTTTTCGCTGAATGTGATGAAACATTTGAAAAAGGTTCGCTTATTGAAATAAATCTACACCAGTTAGTACTTCGATTTCCAGGTAAAGGGAAAAGGCTCATTATCTGCCATATTGGCAGTGAGGATGGATTTGTTGTTGACGGTCTGTGGTGCTTTGAGTCTAAGAAAACTGGAGATTACCACGAGGAAATGAATGGCGAATCGTTTGGACAGTGGTTTTCAAAAATTTTACCGAACTTAGAGGAAAACGCAGTAATTGTGTTGGATAATGCGCCTTATCATTCTCGAAGAATGGAGAAGGTCCCAACAACGGCTTCAAGGAAAGTTGATGTTCAAAATTGGCTCCGCTCGAAAAATATCAACTTTGAAGAAGCAATGCTGAAAGTACAATTATTAAGAATTGTCAAGGATCACAAGGCGGAATATCAAAAATACGCCATTGACCAAATGGCAGCAAGTCAAAATAAAACTGTGCTCCGTTTACCTCCATACCATTGCGAGCTCAATCCCATTGAGCTCATATGGGCAGAGGTTAAAAATTATATAGCTAAGCACAATACAACTTTTAAATTTTGTGACCTCAAAGTACTTTTCAAAGAAGCACTAGAATTAATAACAGCGCAAAAATGGGAAAACTGTATAAGCACGTGAAAGACAAAGTTGAAAAGATAATGTGGGAACTGGACAATATTTTAGAGGAACAAGTCGAGCCATTCATTATTGACGTTGGTGCTTCAGGCAGTAGCGATGATGAAAGCTCATCTTTCCAATAAAAGATGTCGTTCATCAAATTCGGTAAGTTATAAGTAATTATAAAGCTACTGTATTTTTTAATTAATTATTGACATTTTTGAACCCATTTTGGCAAAACCTATTCAAGAATCTACTTTCTGACAATGTTCAACCATGCACATTTTTTTACGTTTTGAACGTTTTAATTTGGTTACATATTTACCTAGGAATCAAAAAATATAGTAATCAATATTCTAAAAGCAATTTTAAGAGATATGCGATTATTTTTAATTTAGGCTAATTTAAACGCCATTTTGAGATTATATTCGACTGTATTTCACCAAACATCAGGCGGCATCCGAAGCTGGAAATCGAAGCGAAAATTTTGAAACCCTTATGTATATTTACATCATTATATATTTCTTACCCCACCCCCACATGATCCTATATCCATCACCAATCGTATACACATCGAATTGTGCTAATTTACTACAAAGTTACGCAAAGCAGCATCTACTATCTAAAATATGTACTGCGTGACTCTTAATACGTCCCTGCCGAATGTTACAGCGTTCGATGATCACGTGGTCTTGTTTATGTCCGGTCTATCTCTTATCTGAATATACTGTATATGAGAACAAATGGATAGCATTATTGACGAGATTGAACGAGTGCAGAGAGAAACTGATGAACCGGCAAGAAAAAAAAGGCAAGTTGAAGAAGGCAGCAAAAAACGGGAAGCGTTAGAAATATGCGATGCAGTATTATCGCAAATAAGAACAAGATTTAACTTTTCTAGACATTTAGTTGCTTCTAATTTATTTGTGTCTGAAAAGTTTTCTGTTTATAAACATCAGTTTCCTGAAGCACATTTAAATGACACATGCACACAATTTTCATTTTTAGACAAAAACAGGCTTAAAACTGAGTTACAAGTATTATATCAGAGAGAAGAATTGAGTACTACTTCTGGAGCTGTTCCACTATCCATTTTATTGAACGAGGAAGGATTAAATTGTACGTTTCAAGAAACTCTTAAGCTCTTAAGTATTTTAATCAATATACCGATGTCAACATCTGAAGCAGAACGCTCTTTTTCTATGCTGAAACGGATTAAAACTTTCCTCAGAAACACAATGAAGGAAGAAAGGCTTAGTGCTTTAGGAATGCTGTCTGCAGAAAAACATTTTGTTAGTGGCATTGAAAATTTTAATAAGAAGGTAATCGAAAACTTTGCCACCAAAAAAGAAAGAAGAATGGACTTCATATATAGAAAACTTTGAAGTTATAGGCACTTCTCCACACGTGTAAATAGTTTTATTTTTGATTTTTTTTTGGACATATAGATTTATTGAACCTCAAGAACATTGACCACTAACTATCAGGGGTAAGTTATAAGTTATTCTTTACAATTTTGAATCGATTCAAAATTATGGCTTCCATTCTGGCACTACCTCACTGAATTGGCACGAGCCGCCACTGCACGAGGGCACCTTCTAATCTGGTGTTCATCTAAAACAGATGTCAGAAGTAGTTTACATCCCACAACCGAATCAATTCCCAGCAAAGTAGACAGTAAATCGACCAAGGCTTCTTAGTACAACATACGCAGAGACTAAGTGCTCATCGCTGAGAGTTGTAATAGCCTATAGTATGAACAAACGTGAGAGCAAACTAGCCACCTTAACTGGTAGTTAAGAGCAATTCCCGACTGTAATTACTACACGCGATCAGCACCCTCCCTCTCACAACTTTTAGCTACAAATTAACTCAAACACGCACATAGCCCTGATAGTAGGAGTGAGTGTATAAATTTGCATGCCATTCTGCATCAGATGGCAAGTATTTAGGTTTACATAAACGTTTGCTTGTATGCCTGGATCTCACTGGGTACTGGATATACTGCTCATAGGTATTTGCTTGCAGCAGAGGCGGAATAAGGTATGTATCACCACTGACGTATCGAAAAAAAAAAGTTGTGGGGGAGTTAAGGGCGGATCTAGCATGTAAGGGCCGTATCGTCAGTCGTTCCTATAATTGTAGGATGCCATTATGGCATCCTTGATTGTTATAGTTTTTCGTGTTTTTCAAAAAGGCAGGGGTATTTCTAGATTCCTACTGTTTCGTGACAGCACTTTGTTTTGAGCTCATGTTTTCTTTTTGAATTCTAAGAAATTTCCGGCTGATAAAGTTTGATATTCATCATCTGTTTTATCGGCCTGAATAGAAGGTATCTCACAGCTGACACGAAACAGTAGAGATCTAGAGATCTAGAACTACCCCAGCCTTTCTGAAGGAGAGAAAATACTATGAAAATCCACGAGATCATAAAGGCGAGCTAGAATTGTAGGAACAGCTGGCGATACGGCCCTTAATGAGGGGACGACCAAAGAGGTATTTTCACACTTTCACCAGTATTATACTGCGATGGCATTTGCGGCTTATTTCTCATCCCTCTTCCGTTCCTCTATACCGAAGCAGAGGGTGTGCCAAATAATATTCAGTGTGTTTCAGAAAAAAGTGACAATATTTCAATGGTACAGCATATATGCAAAAATAACAATAATAAAGTACTAATAAGCATAGGCTCAAAAACGCCCAATTACCAAATTGCATGGTTATAGATTTTGACGTCACTGATGAGAAAGATTAAGGAGAAAACATGGCCAATGTTCAAATAATGCGATCGCTAGTGATAAAGGATGGGTGAACACACCCATACACCGAGTAGCATGCCGACCATTCCCAACTATCGTGTCATCCTCCCCACCAACAACACTTGACATTGAACACTGTCTGTAGTGTATTAGGAAACCAGCTCTAACTGGTCAAAGTTCACTAACCTTAGCGTACATTCAAAGTAGAATGTTTTGAAGTTTTTTATATCCAGGTTAAGAATATCTTTCCGATGTAATTTTTGAACTGCCTAAGTTTAGTAGAGCTTGAAAAACCAAAGAACACATAGTAAGCAATATAAGGGTCACTCCGTCAAAAGGCAGTTACTGGTAGGGTGGACAAAATGATAGTTGGGAGTGGTTGAAATGCGGTCACTCATCATTTATAACCGGTGAGAAGTTATCAGACAGCTTCCAGCAGGCAATTCTGCCGGGCATTCGTGTGAAGTTAGCAGCCAATTATGAGCAGTCATCTTATTGTACCAATTACTGATTTTTTAATGACTGCATCGTATTTCTACCTAATTTTAGCAACAGACCGCCTCAGAAAGGGTATTTTCACCCTTAGAACAAAAGTATTTAGAAAGAGGTATGCGGCTTTTCAAAGAAGCTAAAACAACATTGATAGTGAAACTGAATAAGCTCATCGTTTATATGTAGGAGTAGAAGACAGATCATTGTTTTTTTTCTACCTGGCATAGAACATAGATAGCTTTTTATATCTTCCACCTAGTTAGAAAAAGAGTTACAGGCTAAAAATAAATGAATAGTGCTTTACTAGTAGCTGTTGGGTCACTTCTTCGTTCCCGTCGAAGGGGTGGACTTCACACCTCGAACGTTAAAAGTGTGTTTTTGCATTTTTAACTTAGCCAGAAAAAAAGATACAGGTCGAAAAAGAATTAAAAGTGTTCCTTTCATTAGTAGCTATGAGGCCATGTAGATCCCATCTTCTTTAGGCCCGTCGAAGGGGTTGGCTTCATCCCTTGAACGTAAAAAATGTGTCTTTTGCATTTTTCACCTAGCCAGAAATTAAGTTACAGGGCTAAAATGAATGAAAAGTGTTCCTTTTATTAGTAGATATAAGGCCACATCGATCCCATCTTCTTCGGAGCCGTCGAAGTGCTTGACTTCACCCTTCGTACGTGGAAAATGTGTTTTTTGCATTTTTCACCTAGCGAACATTTTTCTGGCTAGGTTAAAATGCAAGAAACACATTTTTAACGATCAAGTGGTGAAGTCCATCCCTCCGGGGGTTCGAAGAAGTGGCCCAATAGCCACTTGTAAAACACTAATCATTTATTTTTAGTCAATAACTAGGTGGGACATATAAATAGCTGCCTATGTTCTGATGGTGTAAACTGCCCCTACGACAGCTAGAAACAAACAATGACCTGTCTTCTAAGTCTACATATAAAAGATGTATTTTTGCTAAAATTAGCTAGAAATACGATGCAGTCATTAAAAAGTCAGTAGAAGGTACAAAAAAGTGGCTGCGGCAAATTGGCTGCTAACTTCACGGGAATGCCCGGAAGAATTAGCTACTAGAAACTGTCTGCTAACTTCACACCGGTTTCTTTGGCTATGGTATACTAGATATCCAAGCAGGTAAACAGGGTACATTCAGGTAGTTGACCGTCGGTGTCGAAAGGGAGTAGCCTGTCTTTTATACATACAGGGTGATTCAAGATGATAATGCGTCGCTGCCTGAGTGACTATAAAACAAAGGAGGGTAACAGGATACCGATATTCGGATGCCCTGCTAATGACGTTATGCAGGTATTATTATTCCAACGTATTTGATATCCAAGACAATAATATGTTTATGGAGGAGTTCTGGTCGTGGTGAAATTAACTAAGGAATCCATCCATCACAAATCGTCAAGGTGTCACAGTGAACGCATACCACCGTACCACTGTCACTTAAAACATTATTATGAGCCGAATGTTGAATTTGTCATTACTACGATACCTCATGCCATCTGCATTACCCTGCGTGTTAGCTTACGCAAGGTCTTACAGTTTGTGGTTGTAATGAGTAAAATAGAATGAATTTTACTTTTTGTTTTTAAGCGCGTCTTTGTTTTAACCTCGACTGCAGATTTTTCAAGTTTCACTAAATTCTTGTTTTCAATCTTTTATTATATACCTCATGCCATTTTTTACATTATTTCATATACCATAACTCACTGTTTTTCACTTGACTACAAATATGAAAATATCATAACATAGTCTTTTGTTTACCAATTATTGCGTGCTTAAACTTATTTTCAAATTTGTGCCGATACAGTACATTCCAAGTTTTGTCAAAATTGGTGAAGCGATTACTGAAATTACGCATTGATAAGGAAGACAGAACGATAGATGGATTATCGCCAGTTAGCGATGGGGAAGATATGAAGCGCTAAAAAGGCGTAATATTTTTGGGATAATGACATTAGTTTATTGTCTATGGTCTATGCCGTAAAAGGAATAATGATATGGATCACTCTGTCTAAGCGCAATTTATGTAACCAACGAAATGCCATTACAAACATTTTTTTAATACCGGTCTGTAAATGTCTATTTACGTGCGCCAAAGCACTGCAACACTACCCTGTGGGAAGCAACAAAATATCGGCACGTTTAAGAAGTCCGAGTATCAAATGTTTTACTGTCAGTGAACCTTCTAGAGGTAGTATTAGCGGTTCCACGTCTGCCACCTTACAACCCTTACCGCTCCACGAAAATAATGTTTCAAGTTTTGAAGATAACGTTATTTTGGAGCCATTTTTCTGTACTGTTTACACAGTTGAGGCGAGATGCAAGCAACTGAGCATTTCTGGGTACTTATTTAGAATCATTATTTATTTTGAATCGGAACAACTAAAGCCGACAGTTGATTTAAGGAGTATCTATGTGAAACTATTTACCGCCACGATTTCAAAGCGCGCACGCAGAGTAGGAAAGCGGCACCGCGCCCCTTCCCCCTACCTTTCTCCCCTCTGGCCGCCTATAAACCTTCATTTACTTCAAAGCTAAGTTGTTGCAACAATTGGATGATAAATAGGGAGTGAGTGAGCTATTTACTTCGACGAGGACTTCACATAATTAAGATCGAAAATCACTTACAGGTAAGTTCGTTTCCGTCCTCATCGAAGTAAATATTTAGAATACATTTCGTAGATGTTCAAAGCTAGTTGCAACAACATACTACTAACGCTCTGCAATAGTAAACGATAGGTTGTGTACACCACTACATAAATTGTACGCAATGTATGTGTCAACTAAAGGTACATTTCCATTGTAACAATTCAAGTTAAGGCTTTTAGCAACAGGTAATATGACGTACCTGGTTCAAAACTTACCATCCATTCCATGGTAATGAGCAAATAACGTAATATTATATTTATGTTTAAGGTGTGGAGGATTGATTCACCTCAAATGCCGCTTGAGCACAGCTATTGTTTGGCATAAGAGACTTGCGACGTATCTCAGAACACGCACTCCAGCCCGCCGCGAGCCTGAGACTACTATAATTTAGCAGGCGGAGAGGTAGACGCGTTTCATGTACTGTGGATTGTCAATTGTGACACTCTCTGCTGAAACCGACTTCATCCATCTGGGAGCCGAGGCGTAAAATACGGTAAAATTTAGGTGGTTCCCGCATGAGTGACCCCGAGACTTTCAAAAGCTGAGAAATCCCAATTTCAGTATTATTTAACTCAATCCGGATGTTGTCTGTTTCAATTAGTTTGCACACTCTGACCTGAGGCTAGAGCTAGCAGTGTTGCTGATTTCCTCATAAAAATGTCTACAGAGCTTACCAGCAACCGCTTTGGTTGGTTTGAGAACAACCACAGTATCTATATTTCAGTTGAGATGACCTCAGCCTGTAAATGCCGTTAAAAAACCATCTTATGTCTGCATCGATAGTAACATTTTGGGCAAAAGACTGATAGCTCAAAAAACTATATCCTGATCTCTTATCACACTGTAAAGTGAGAAATTTCAAGGTAGAAGACCAGGCATGTATTTCTTCCCGACAAAGGTCCTACCGTGATCTAATATGATGGATTATTTATGTTAATTGGAATGGCAGCTTTCCAGTGACCACAGCCAGGGTAAGCTTCAGAATTAGAGGGAGTGGCATCCTGGATCCCTCCATCAGATTCTTGCATTACTTCTAGAAGAGAAATTTCAGAAACACCGAATCCATGAAACAAATCAGGCCGGTGGCAGGTGTAGCTCGCACTACGTTTCCAAGTCTTACTGACGCAAAAGATCTCTCTTTGTACTGCCATAGCTCTCCCGCGACCTGGTTCAGACGTGGAAACTAGAAGCTCCCCATTCTATTGATATAGGTTAGGGTATAATATGCGACAGCCCATCAATTCGGGAGCAAATAATTCACAACAGAAGAAAACTCCCAATAGTTCTAGCATGCGGATTCATCCTCTCGAATGACGAAAAACCATGAGACTTTTGCCCTGGCCAACGAATGTCCCAGCCCGAGACATTATACAATTAAAAATTAGATAATTAGGTAGACCTCATGTTATGTTAGGGATATAGTACCGTTAAAATTCCCTCGAGAATTTTACTGGGCAAGAAATTTCACTCGTTAGTGTATATAGTTGACTGTGTGTATAGCTGACCTCCGATAATTTTGAAACTAAAAACTTCAGTTCTTCTCTTATCTTTGATTTGTACGGTTGAAAAAGTTGCTTCGATTTTCCCTCAGTTAGTGGCTGTTAATAAGTGTTGCATTGGTAGAATTTATGTCAAGTTGTGTTCTCATCAGTAAGCACTTCCAGTTACTTAAAAGGGGTTTTCCCTTCTGGCTAAAGCTAACACCGAGTCAACTAAGGATTCTGGGTACTAGCTCGATCAATCAGCATTGTAAAGTTGAGATTCTAGAGTTTAATTTTGCTATTAGGTTCAAACTTAAATTTATTGTAATTTAGTTGTCACCGTTCCTTTTAACTTAGTCGTAATTCACTCCTCCAGTGATCTTTTCCCCAGCCTATTAGTTTTACGAAGTTAACTGTTCTTTGTCATTGCTACTTCACTCATCACGAGTGTATAGATGTTTTGAGTCTGTAATTCAATTATTAATAAAAATGAGTCTCCTTTAACTTGAGTTCCTTTAATTTCATTAACTGAAGCTAACTGAGTTCGAGGGTTCCGAAAGTATCCATTCGGGCGTTTACCACATTCTCTGATTACTTGGAGAACAGAGGAAGCAACATTCCGCGTAAAGTGAGCGTTTCAATGAGCCAAGATAGGTAAAAGGTAACAGAATTTGAAATTCGAGGGGTCTCGGACCAGTCCAGAAATTGAAGTATTGGACTGGAGATCCGAACTATATATTCAAGGCACGACGTTGAGAGGTCCGGGAGTCTCGGACGAAGATCCTGTTACATAAAAATGGCGCAGCCGGTAGGATGAGTAACCTCATAACAAAATGACTACTATCAATAACCAGTAAATCATTGAGTTATACAGAAACAATTAAAGTAAATATTAAATCAAACAATAAAAGTAAAGGTTAGCTCAGGCGGAGAATCTGACAAATATATATTGGGAGATATAAAATATTAAGACGATGAGATTTATAGTTTACTGCTCGGTGTACTGTCTACATAGTTTAGAAAGTCAAAATAGTTACATGGAATTGATTTTGAACTAATGGTCTATCACATAAAAGAAATGTTGGATTTAGCACAGCAAATCGATAAAGAAAATTAACGCTAGAATTGAAGTTGTAATGGAGTTATAATCGAGTTATAAATCTTGCAGTTCAGAAAACATTAGAGATGAACGTCCAGAAATTCAAAGAATACGGAACTTCCAAGATATGATCCAAGTGTCATTGATTTTTTAAGAATAGTAAAGCTATATAACTTTGACAAGAACGTATTAGTACTATTATACTTCCATTGTGCTCTTTATGATGAAGTTTTATTTAATTTTAAAAGTAGACACTACCACGTTAATTTCTGAGTAGTTAAAGTATTATCGATAGCAATAACTTCACGAAAAATAACATAGAAGTATTTCATCTCATCATGTAATTGGTTTTATGAAGAGTCATAACGAATAAGAAAAATATCTTTAGATATGTATCACTTTGCATATATCCATGGAATTTTTGCGTCAAACCAAGGATGGGAGAAAACTCCGACAAAGGTCGTAAAATAGGTATTTTCATTTTTCTGTAGAGTATTTACGAGAACGAGCTAGATACACGTTCAGTTAACTAGAATTAAATTTTGAGATCATACAGTAAATGCATAATTTGAGTTTCTAGTCAAACAAGAATAATGGTTGAGAAATTATGTCAGCGAGTTACTACCACCGAGAGATTTGAGTAAAAAGTGGAAGTAACGTACAGAAGAATAAAGAGTAAATACTTTCAAAAAAGCGTACTGAAGAACGAAATTGAGCTTTTTAAACCAAGACTAGATGCATAGATAGGGACGGTAAATCACTCTACAGAAAGAGGAAATGCTTCGCGCTAGCTCCTGTCTGGTTAGGGAATTGCGACAAGCTCAATTACGAAATTTTAATTTTTTCATTCGTGAGATATGTCATTGATATTTAACACCCTCGTACATTCAGACTACAGACTTAGCAATTACAATGAGTCTTAGAACATTAATTTTGATGTTATACGATAGAAATAACGGAGTTAGGAAAGCGAGCCTAGTTCGTTATGTAACTAAACTTTTCGACCTAAATACGTTATTGAAGAAATATGTCTTTGTAAGGTGACAACAAAAGAGAGATTTAATTAAGACCGATGATAGTGCTTATATATTGAAGGTATCTGACAAGTTAGATTAAAGCCACTTGATTGTAAAATCCATGTGAGGAATTAAATTAGTAAGATGGAATCATGGTACACAAAGTCAATTGTATAGTCATAATTGTCAGATGGTCTCTGATGGAAATGGTCTAATTTAATGGGCAAAAGTCAATGTAAATAGCAAATTATGTAAATATAGTCCATAAGTTATGACTTACACCCACTACATATGTTTAAATTCATTACAGTTAACGATCATGAATAAGGAAAGATGTCTGGTGAAACATATGATCAATAATGATTTTTCAACATGTCTTTTGACTACGTTCAAAAAAAAATTTCGAGACATTGGAATAGCCAATAATTGCAAAATTCATAAGCTTGAAGAAGAGTAAAATCCTATGAATTAAAGAAGATGTACCAGACATTACCGTTAAATAAGTCTATCAAAGGTCGGGTACCAGTCATTTATTGCATCCTTCCAAGGAAAGTGAAAGAGGTCAACCGAACCCATCATTGAACCTGCGACAGGTAGGGCCACGTGCCTGTGCACGCGTAAGCTCTACAAGTACTTCTGGAAAGGGCGTTGCTAATTGTGGTTCGCCAGGTACTGACTACCTGTTGTAGTCGAGGTCAAGTGTTCAGAGATTTGCCTTAATTTGCCTTGTATGCAAGAATGAGTGATCTGGCCAGAACTAGTTAAAAAAAAAAGTATTAAGTAATTAGACAATTCTCGAAACCAGTGTAAGGGCGCATCAGCACATCAGATAGCAAAGGTGCATTAATAATGACGTAGAGTACTTAACAGAGACCCCAGTCAGCAATTAAAATGGATTAAAAAGCAGATACCTTCGCCATAGACTTGTTTCTTCTTGTTAGAACTAGACTCTCAGCTTAAGAATAATAATAGAATGGAAATAAGCGATAGCTACGAACGTTCAGGATAAATTATATAGTGCGGTTCGAACCAAGTTTAGTCTATTGTTCAACTCGTTATTTGAAAATTTAAGAAAAATTGAAATCATCAGAGCGACTTTAACGAAGTTCGCTAGATTTTCGCCACCAGACCGTGTATGCTAGTGGCAACGTGTGAGAGTTGAGAACGGACAACTCCTCCAACATCCCGAGCCTCGGACTGAAGAAAGAATATCTTCGGGGAAGAGATCTGAGGCGAAGACTTCAGCTACAAAGCTGTGAGGCCAAATCATGTGATCTTGTAGTATCTGTCATTTGACAGCATCGGCGACCCGAATGACTAAATAAGAATTTTATTTACAGGTTTTAACAGTTAATTTGGTCTACTCGAAGTAATTCAACTAATCGTAATCTCGTTTTCAGTATACTTAGGATTGGTTTCAGCACAATATAAATTTTGTTTCAGCAAACTATACGTATAATTCAGCAAATGTTAAATCTTTTCACAGCTTTAACCAATTACCGTGTGAATTTGAAAAAGAATATTTACTCAATACATAAGCTAATAATATAAATTTTGTTCACAGCTATAGCTACTGTCTCTTTTCAGCAATTAATTAGAACAGAAATTGCTTTAATCACTTAATAATTTTGTTTCAGCTATAATCTGTCTTTATTTTCAGGAAATATCTAGATAAGGAATTACTTTAACTAATTAAGATTAGTTTTTCGGCTAGTATTTAATTTCAGGAAAAATTGGGCAAGGAGTTATTTTTTCGTTAGAATTAGAATAATACTCATTCTGTCCACAGCTTTAATTAATTATTTTCAGGAAAGTTAGTTAAGAAATCATTCCAGGAACAAGTTAATATCAATTTTGTCCACAGCTTAAATCAATTATTTTCAGGAAATTTAGTTAAGAAATCGTTTTAGGGACAAGTTAATATCAATTTTGTTCACAGCTTTAACCACCGTTTTCTTTCAGCGTGAATTTAGAAATAAGATCTTTTTCTTGCAGCTATAATAAGTGATTTAAGCTTTAGTTATTTGTTTTAACTAAATAACTTTCCCACAACATATTTCGAAAGTCGTCTTATTTCTTTCAGCTATCGACAAGGATAATTATTAGTCATTGAAATAGTTGTTATCCATATATTGTAGGTTTTATCCACATTAAAGAATAGGGTAAACGTACCTAGCCTGAGCCAGGACGAAAGGAAGAGAAAAATAATGTGTTAACATTTAGGTTATGATGAACTGTCATTGCAGTAAGGAGACAGGATTTGTCGATAACTTTATAAATTGTCCTGTGTTAACATTTATAGTTTTCAGTCGCAACGACGGATAGCGGAAGAGCGTTTCGAGTTTTTTTTGGGTTTTTTTTGTCACCAATATAGGTTGGTTGAAAAAATTCCGAAATTGGTGGTCATTCCGTCACGTCGTACTTAGAAATTGCATATAAAAGAGGGATTAGTGGCCCTTCGTGAAAGTTAGGAATAGAAATTGTTAGAAACATGAAGGAGTTGCTTAGATAATCGGGGTTAAGGCAAATCGTTTAAGGAAAGAGAAATATATATGTAGGTCCATGTTAGCAGATATCAACAAATCGATAGTCGCCCTTAGCTTAGTAAAGTCTGGAGTTGTTAACCGCTTAAATTTACCAGTTGCCCCGGACGATCATAGGATCATCACGGACATATCCGGAAACGTTATCCAGAAAGGAGGATCAGCGAGAGTACGATTCAACCTCGGATGTATAGAAATGGAACACTAATTCGTCATCTGCAACAATGATCTGAATTTTCCAGCCGACGGACTATTAGGCATCGATTTTTTGGATCATCATCGACCTATCCTCGATTTTAATGGTGGATTAACGATAGGTTATAGGGACGATTTTACCCCTGAAAGTTATGCACCCCCTTTGGATGAATAAGCCAGCTACCGAGGCTCCTACCTGTCGCGGATTACAAGGATCTGGCTTGATTTCCGCGGACGCAAAGGAAATTGAGAAAAGGAGTCTTTGGGCCGAGGCTGACACTGTCAGCTATGGAAGTACCTTTCAAAAATTGTACCCATAGAGACCCGTATGCGCAACCCACACAGGTTTCTAAGGTGCCTGTAGTGAATAGGCGACAACTGCAGTCCTGCGAAAACGCGGATTCCCAGGGTACGGGTGTGGCGATCCCCGCGAAAAAGAGTAAGTCAGTTGCAACGAGGGGTATGAGTACTCACCTTCCTACGGGTCACCAGGAGTCAAGCACGACTCCTTCTGACGTCTTGGTCCAACAGACAATGGATCCAACCTTTTCGAAGTCCAATGCCGCCACCAGCGCTGCCTCACAATCAAATCCACAACCAACAGTAGAATTTCAGAAATCGAGCTTGAAGGATGCGTACAACAGCAAGGGACCAAGTCTACTCAGATTGTCTGAAACAATATAAATACCAGCTTTTCACGAGAGCGACCTTAGTATTCCAGTGGACAGTCGACACCCATCGGGTACGAAGGTCTGCAAACCCTTACATGTCGCCCCAGGGATTTGCGTAGCCAGAACTCTGGTAGACATACCAAACGACACACAGAGAAGTCTCCGGACAATCGCGATTAGAATAATCAATGTTTGTCCGTCGACTCAGACGATTCGGAAAACCACACCGATTTCGATACTGATGAGCGCCAGCTCGGAAGAGATCAGCCAAAATCTTCTTTCATCGCAAGTCAATACAATTAACTGCAGCAGTAAAGTTTCAGCAATAGGTTTTGAAGACGACAACGGAACGTCAATGGAAAAATACCTAAAGGGTAAAGAGTGCCAGTATATAGAAATCCAGGAGCTTCTGGAGGAATTTAAAGATATTTTTGCCGAAAAAGGAAAACCTTTAAAAGCAACGTCCCAAGTCAAGCATAGGATTGACACAGAGGATAACCCACCAGTTTATAAGCCAACTTATCGCATACCATTAAAATTACAGCAAGTAGTAAGAAAACAAGTCGACGAGTTACATGGCGGTAAGGAACAGTCCACGCAAACCAGTTGAAAAAGTGTCTGGCCACAGAAAAATCCAGGAAACCAACTGGGGAACGTACTGATGAAGTTTCGGTAGACAGAAAATATACCACCAAATGGAATCGGAATTTATAGCGGACGGGTAACGCGTAGTAAAACAGGGAACGAAGTGACTGATCCCAATTAGTCAATCATCCTTAACCTGTGGTTAGCCCTATTCCTCCTACTACCTACCCATGATTACAAGAGAGAAGAGGATCAAGACCTCGAGGTAGACGCATTACCGGCGGAAGAAGAACAGGCAACAGACTCCAGCGGAACTATCAAGAAGACATGTCAGGAGTCAAGGGCCATTACCAGAATTACCTTGGGTTGATGACAACCGTTTTACCACAGCCACTTCGCAACGCGCAGAGCCAAATATAGTCATTTCAACCACTAAACAGTCTTATTTTCAGATGTTCGGGAGAATTGTCGTCCTGGCAGCTAGCATGCTGCGGTTAGAGGCGGACATCATCGCCTATGATTGCAAGGACGACTCCGTGGAGCTCACGGAGGTCTCGCTTCTGGAGGTGAAGCCATGCCTGGACCGAGGAAGGCGGAGGAAACCAAGCCATGGGACATCCAGCTGGTCCAGAAACGCCAGTACGTGGGGGTCCACGTATACACCTGCCTGATCACCGTGCAACAAACGATCCGGCATTGCGGGATGCACTCGCACTCCAGCACAGTCGCAGGGGGCCTAGGAAAGTATGTCCTGCATCCGTCGGACTCCGAATGCAGAAGAGCGGAGAGATTCCAACACCTGGACCTGAGGGCCATCGGAGCTGATTGGTGTCCCAGCTCACGAAAAATGGAACGACGGAGATTTCCACAACCCTGCAAGGACAACTAGACACAGAAGGCCACTGCGAGGGAGTGACCTACCAGTCAACGTCCAACTCAAAAGGCATCTGGATCGAGATCTCGCCGGCATTGAAGAGGACATCATCAGTCATGGAGTTGGACACGAATGAATAAACGGACACCACCACCCTAACGAAGATATCGCCCATTTCCTCCCATGGTCTCTACATGAAAGAGGAAATGGACACCTTCTAAGAAGATCTTCTGTTCCCGGATGTACGCGAGGCTGTGGCAAACGAGATGGTAAGGACAAATACAACAAACCGTCACTTCATGCCAGGACTCTTTTCGAGGGAGGAGTTCAAGAACATCGCCATTGCTGTGGCGGAACATGTCTGAGAGTTCCTGTCACGTATGAGCAACATCTTCTCGGTGTGTCAATTCCTATACACCATGCTGTGTATTGTCAGCTATGTCGCCAGTGTGATCGCGAACTATTTCACACTCCGAAACGAAGCGAGAAACCATCCGAGGAGGAGACGCTAGAGTTCGAACAGCCTAAGGTTATGCCCGCTAGGTCATCACTTTATACCCTCTCCCTTGCGTCGATTATACCCTATAAGGATATAGGAAATTGTTGTGACAGTCTCTGGTAAGATTTATGGACATCTGTTACCGCCCTCTTAATGTGGTCCAGTTCTAATCGTGGCGAATATTTATATCGTAGAAAGCTTAAAAATGTATGTGGTCTTCAATGTCCAGAAATTATGTTGCTGTTGACGCTGTTAAGGGACATCCCACTCTCAGTAAGCCATAGGCGGAACGTTCTTTAATAAGTAGATACGCAGGTTTCAGTCAGTTGAGATTGTTGACACAATTGCGATCTGATGAGACGTTTGTTCGATTTATTTATTTTTTTATTTATTAACCATATCATATTTTATATTTGATTGTGTTGAAAATTGTTAATCTTATGGGGTTTGTGTATATTTGATGGAGATCCATAAATCAAAATATAAAATAGTGAGCAGGTACCTACATATAATAGACACAATATTGGAGGGTAAAACCCCAAGGTCGGCAAACAACTGAAAGTAATTAAATTAATCCAAAGACTGTGATCGGCTTATATCTATACCAATCATGAGATTTCCTAGAGTGCATCATTAGTACCTAGATAAATAGGCTAATACCAATATCAAACGTAGGTAAACAAAATTAGTAGAAACAAATCTAATAATAACAAGGGTAAAATTGAACTACCTGGAATAATTTCCGGTTGCTAAATCCCTTCGTTCGTAAGTAGCGTTAAGACGATGAGTGGTAATTAATCACATTTATTTTACCTGTCCGTTAGTCATAAGTGTGGAAATTTTTACTATTGTTCAAATTTAAATTATTAATAGTTTTGAACCAGTGATCTAAACGATGTCTGTGAAAGAGTTTGGCGTGAAAGGAAAGGCGATTGAGAGTGAAGGAAAGGAAATTATCAACAATGTCAATAACTTCATGGTACAGAAAAGTGTAGAGGGATCAAAGTTTCCACTTCAACAATACCGGTATGTATGAATGTAAAAGATTTTTATAATTATTGTCAATTAAAACTGATTAACCCATTTAGGAAACGTGTGTTAGCTGCCACGGGTATAAGTAAATGCACTTATAAAAAAATAGTTAAAGAGAGCAGAGATGGAATATATTCAAGCAACTTTTCATTTTCATCCCCATCTAAAAAGCGGCAACGAAAATCACCTGTTGTGGATAAAATGACTGCAGGCCAAATTGAAGAAATGAAAGCAATCATATACGATTTTTATATTTTGGAGAAAAGAAGACCTTCGCTGAAATGGAAGTTTTTAAATTGTAACCGTAGCATCTAGTCATATTTCATTTTAAGATTTTTTAGGTATTTACCAAAAAATGCAAGATCGACAACTCAATTTTGAGGGTAAAATAACGACTTTGAACAAACTTTTGAAACAAATGGGCTTTAGGTCAGTATTCATACACACTATAAGGTTTTCGATTTACAACGTTATAAATATAATATATATCTACAGCTGGAAAAGAACTACTGATAATAAAAAAGCTCTCATGGAAAAATATTAAATTCGCTTGAAGCGTATCGAATATCTGAAGCAAATTATGAAATATAGAGCTGAGAACAGGAACATAATTTATACGGATGAAACATATACACATTCTAGTCATACCCCAAAAAAAGGATGGTCAGATGACAATTATGACAAGGAACTAACGCCTTGTTGATATTTAAATCAGGTATTATTTGTGTTACAATGAGGTAAAATATTTCCAAAATATTCTTACATTTACTGGATTATATGTATGTATTTTATTTTCAGGCTCATAATCTGGGGACTACCACAAGGACATGAATCATTTGAACTTCATGAAATGGGTAGAAAGCCAGTTGATCCCAAATTTGCCTGAAAATTCTGTGCTTGTAGTTGACAACGCTTCTTATCACAATGTCCTGGAAGAAAAAAATGTAACCTCTTCTAGCCTGAAATCAGAGATGATTGACTGGCTAGAAAAACTACAAATTCCTAGTGAAAACTCATTGACTAAGGCCAAACTATATAAAAAAAATACAGGAAAATAAAAGAAGATTTCCAGTCAAATACAAGCTAGATGCCTTAATGGAACAGCACGGGAATAAAGTTTTACGACTGCCTCCATATCATCCGGAGCTAAACCCAATCGAGAAGATTTGGGCTCTCGTAGCAAACTGGGTTGCTCCATGAAATGTGACATTTAGGTTGTCTGATGTGGAGCATCTGACCCGTAGCAGGTTTGAAGAAATTGGAGCAGATGAGTGGAAGAAAATTTGTAACCACGTGAAAAAATATGAGCAAGCGCAAATGGAAAAAGAACATCTTCTCTACGATCAAATGGATAAGTATCAATTTACTGTGAAGACATCATCATCAGAAGATAGTGACGAAAGCGACTCAGATGAAGATTTGGAGCTAAACACACTATCATCTGATAGCCATTAGATTTTTGTAATGATAATATATAATTTGAATTATAACCGTCTTTAGTTTGCTCCCTCTTACAAAAACAGGGTTTTGAGATCTATTCTGCAATAACATTTGATTGCTATAACTATAAAGTTACAACCAAAGGAGTGCCAAGAAATCTGAATCTCAACCATTTGGGTAGCAGATGTTAGAAACTACCCCGAGCGCAGAACGGTCACGCATCAGAGGTGTATCATGGGATATCTAAGACTTCCGAAGGCTAGCATATTACTAAAAATTGTCAAAATTGTGGGAAAATATGAAAAAGAGGTGACAAACAGCTAGGTTTTTAGTAGAATTTTCCCCTAGCTGATAGGAGCAGGTGCGCCAGGCTGGATACGATTCTACCTTCTGTCAACGTACGTGTTGACAGATGCGGTTTGGAAATTATCATTAGAGAGGAGCAGGTGAAACTAACGAAAGACTGCGTAGTTCCAATGAAGCTAATTTTGTTAAAAATATACAAAAGATTCCAGAAGAGAGTCACCGTTAGTTTTACCTAAATGCTATGTATAATTTTATAATCATTCAAGAGGACATCTCGAATTGTGGCCTCAGCATTACAGGAATTCCCAATCCATTGAAATTATTGAAAACTGCAGGGTTTGCCCCAAAGCAATTAAAGCTTCGAGACGCCACTGAAGGGGGCGTGTTTCGAAAACTTAAGGGAAGACTGTACGCTGACGACACTCCTTGAGGTGGGACAAGGGAACGTAATTAACCAATAGAGTATAAGGTCATTTTGAGTTCAAAAATTAAGTTTAACAATCATTGGTCACGTTAGTTTTCATCTTTAGAGAATCAGACGGCCATTGCAAGGGTTGTAAACTGATCGACCAATGAGGGCCAAGGGCTGAACTCACTAAGTCGAATGACCAGCCTTCTGATGGAGGGGAAAATCCGCAACTGACCTCCGATAATTTTGAAACTAAAAACTTCAGTTCTTCTCTTATCTTTGATTTGTACGGTTGAAAAAGTTGCTTCGATTTTCCCTCAGTTAGTGGCTGTTAATAAGTGCTGCATTGGTAGAATTTGTGTCAAGTTGTGTTCTCATCAGTAAGCACTTCCAGTTACTTAAAAGGGGTTTTCCCTTCTGGCTAAAGCTAACACCGAGTCAACTAAGGATTCTGGGTACTAGCTCGATCAATTAGCATTGTAACGTTGAGATTCTAGAGTTTAATTTTGCTATTAGGTTCGAACTTAAATTTATTGTAATTTAGTTGTCACCGTTCTTTTGAACATCGTCGTAATTCACTCCTCCAGTGATCTTTTCCCCAGCCTATTAGTTTTACGAAGTTAACTGTTCATTGTCATTGCTACTTCACTCTTCACGAGTGTATAGATGTTTTGAGTCTGTAATTCAATTATTAATAAAAATGAGTCTCCTTTAACTTGAGTTACTTACTAACTGAGTTCGAGGGTTCCGAAAGTATCCATTCGGGCGTTTACCACATTCTCTGATTACTTGGAGAACAGAGGAAGCATCATTCCGCGTAAAGTGAGTGTTTCAATGAGTCAAGATTATATTACTTTATGTCAGGTTCTACGCGAGTCTACCTCCTATAGGAAGACAAGTAAAAGGTAACAGAATTTGAAATTCGAGGGGTCTCGGACCAGTCCAAAAAGTGAAGTATTGGACTGGAGATCCGAACTATATATTCAAGGCACGACATTGAGAGGTTCGGGAGTCTCGGACGAAGATCCTGTTACACATGAATCACCATGTCTTTAAGCCTACAGGTCAAACATCTCCAATTAAATCCGAACCTCTGTCGACCACTTCTAGAAATTCGAACGTTCAGAGATGGAATCAAAATAGAAATTATTTTCAAGGCTCAGGAATTACGAATTTTAGTAGCAAAGAACTTCATACAACCCTGATAGTGATTTACAGTATTATGAGCAACACGAAGGAAATTATGACCAGTGTAGCGATTTTTCATTCCATGAATTTCCTAGTAATCAATTTGACAAAATGCTGATGTTTGCCAAGAAGAGCAGATGA